TGTCTCTTCTTTCATTTCTTGTGTCTCTGTATGCTTAGAATTATGTCTGCCAATTTCCAGGAGTGTTTTGCTGTTCACAGTACTTGTAAGTAATCAGATGCTCTTGGGCCCATCTTCAACAGACCTCTTTTTTTTTTTTTTTTTTTTTTAACCTTCTAATTACAGAGCTGGCTACAAGTGATACTCCTTTGAATGTAAGGGATTTGTACAGGGGGCAGTGAGGGAATTAAGGGCAAGACAAGGCCTGCCTTTCAGGCCAGCCAACTTTTTTTTTTAAAAAGCGCCCTCGATTTACAAAGCAAATACAGCTGTTTGGCATCACTCAAACACACAATTTCCACTGCACTTTGTATGCTCTTTCAAAAGTGGAAACACACCTTAAAGGGCAGTATTTTAAAGCAGGTTGGATCTGTTTATCTTCTGTGTAAGATAAAACTCAGAGTAAGTGCCAAACTCTGCAAAATAAAGGACCAAATACACAGTTGGAAAACTAGAAAGAGAAAGCAACTTAACACAGCCAAGCTATTTGGAAAACTTCATTATTTACGCATGTTCGGAGAAAAAAGGTTAAAAATAAATAAGTTACTTAATGTTTGAAAACGTCACCCTGAAAGAGAAACTAACAACTCTGGAAGGGAAACATTGATCTTGTAGCGCTTTCCTGGACCCTGTTGTTGTAGGGGAACACCTGGTCAGAGCTTGTATGAATGGCAGTTCTTACTGTGAGTCTCTTTCCCCATGTAGTGACTGGGCTGTATCAAGATTTTATAAATCAGCTGTGTCCTTCCTGTTCATGTACTTGTCACTACAGCAGAGGCGCCGTGGGATACAGAGGTCTCAAGTTCCACTGTCGCTGCCAGTAATCCACATGAGGATATAATAGAAATTTGCCAGAAATTTGAGACAATGCAGCTATTTTATTATGGCAAACTACTACAAGAAACTCTACTAAAATGTTCATGTATTTTGTACCAGAGACTAGAATGAGTGAAAAAAATCTATAGATAGGAAAGGGGCAACTTTGAAAAGGGCCAAATCTTTGATGCAAACTCTGGGCACGCTGCACAGCTGATCACATGACCCCATGAATTTGCAAAGTAATTTTCAGCCGAGAGTTATCAATTCTGGTATAAACAGCCAGATTTTTTTGGCAAGAAGAAAATTCTGTCAGAGATACCCAAAAAGCTCAGAAAGCAGCAAAGGTCTGTAACGTCAGCCTTACCTGTTTCTGCTGCTTAATATCTTTTATTAAATGCTGTTGCCCAAAATGAATCTAGATTTTTGTGGGGCTTTATTACGGAGTATTTACAGAGTTTTACTTCTAACCACACTTTGACTCTAACTGCAGCTAAGGGACAGACAGCTTCACTCCCACGTTTTTGATGGCACAACTGGCCTCCTGTTTTTATCAGGTGAGAATTTGTCCTTCATGGATTGGGAAGAACTAAGTAGATGAAATCTGCTTACTCCTGGGTAATGTTAGTATTTCTTTTTAGCCATAGTAAGATTTGAACTCCATAATGTTTATTATCTAAGCAATTTAATGTAAGCTGGTTTAAAAGAGTACTTTTCTGCTCTGTAAGAGCTGGAAGGGAAATAAGGGGAAAAGAGGTAGCTTTGCTGTTTCCATGGCTCTTCAGCTAAAAACAAGCCTGATGAAAACTCTCCCTGAGGGTCAGTGGTAACATGTGCTTATCACATGAAATAATGTCTGCTTGCTTACATCGTGTACAAATGAGTTCTCCATGCTCCGAAAGCATACAGATAGAATTAAATCTATTTGAATCACATCTTGGTGCTAATAGGCCGTCTGCATCACAAGCCCCTGTATAACCACAGAGGAGTAATTTTCTAAAAATGTAATTTGAAATCATATTTTTCTTGTCTCCTTAACCCATATGATGCCATATCACTGATGGTTTGGAAAGACAGTAGTGTGAAAGGGAGAACTAAACAACTGGAAAATTGACAGCATTTGTGAGGAAAAAAAATGAATGCTTCAAACTGCACCGGCGATACATATGTCAGCCTTTAGAGTGCAGCTATTAGATACTAGTAATCATTAGATTACTAAATTGGAGTCACTTTTGAGGGTGGTCTTTTCTGAACATGGTCTCTCCTATTATGAATGATAATTTTACAAAGATTCAAAGTAAACCATTGTCGCACCACTTGATAGTGCCTCTAATCCCAGCTACAAAACTGTAGCTCACCTTTAACAGTTTCCCCAGTCAGACTGTTTGGTGTGTACAGACAGTGTGTCACAGTTTATCAGTGCAAATGCAGTACCAGCTGGTACTTGGTTAGTTGAGTTAGACAAGTGAAACGTGAAGAGAACTGCAGACTTTCAAGAAACTTGGGAACCTACAGTTCTGAGGAAGTTTCAACCTGCAGGAAACTCGGACTTGCAGAATTTCTGCTCCTTGTTCCAAGCCTCAAAGAACGCAGTCTGTTAGGCTGATTAAGGGATGACTCGTCCTTCGACTGGCAAGTTTCATTTGTTTTCAGCTATTGGCCTCCCAGAGAGATCACATTCTATTTTATTTCTACATTTTAAAAGGCTTTGGGTAGACAAGGGCAAAGCTATTTTTTACAGTGAAAGTCACCATTAAGGTTATTGCTATTCAGCTATCATAAAACTGTTTAATATCAGTCCATCAGTTATGGGAAACTTAGCAAGATTCACAGGTATAAAAAACCACACTGACAGTGCCTACTCAGGTAAGTTAAAAGGCCATGTTTGCACCTCATCCAATTAAAAATAAATAAATCCCTCAAAAAATGATTAATCTTGCTCTACCTCCCCACCACAGCCATTTTCCTGTTTCATCTACTGAAATTCAAGGGAGGATTTTTTCAGGGTTTTTTTTTCTTTTAACCACAAGCCAGTATGTCTAGGACAAAGAGAAGACTCATTAAAGCCACTGTAATGCAAAATACAAATGTTACTCAAAAAATAGTGTGCTACCAGAATAGTTAGATAAACACAGAGCTAGTACAAACTCAGAAAGTCCTGCAGGATTATTCTCAAAGCTTTTTTTTCTTGTGCACATGCAAAGCTCCACACTTTTTGTGAGCTTTAGTGTGATGTTGGACTCAACCTTTGTGAGCTTTAGTGCGTTGTTGGACTCAATGATTTAAGGGTCTTTTTCAACCTAAAAGATTCTATGATTCCATGATGCTATGTTTATAGAAACCTTCTAAATTCATCAAACATTGAAGAGGAAGGAAATCTGCTTTAGGAAGCATTGTAAAAAAATTTAAAGGTGCATGTTAAAGTGCTCAGCTATTCAATAAATAGTGAAGTAGAAGTCACACAGAAGGTAAGTATTAAAAACTGCTTTTCCATCAGATTAGTATGAAAAACAAATTTCACAAACTTAGTGTCAATGATGAATTGCATGCTCAAAGAACAGGGGATTACATGATGTTACTATCTTTCCATAGTTTCTACCTTGTCCTTTCTTCAGTGAAACCTTTTTTGCTGAGATAGGAAAAGCCTTGAGATTGTTGCTCTTTAGGCTTAAGAAAAACCACTAGCTTAAAGATTCTAAAGGTAAGCTGGTCTTCAATATACACACCAATAGCAGAAAATGTGACTAATGTTCGTGGCAAAGTGTCTCCTTAAAAATACATTAGTACATGAAAATTTGGGGCTTTTATTTGTGCGAAAGATGTTTCAAGTCCTTGTGGTTAGGAGAAGAGCCTGAAAATGTGATCACTTCTAAGTGATCTAGAAAATAAAACATTTAAAGAACCCTTCTGTAATTCTAATAGTCTCAGGAATTTTAAGAACATTGCATTTTGGCAATGTGATAGGACTTCTCAACATTTAGGGCTGTATTTATGGTGCTGGAAAAGCAAAAGCAGGAGCAAAACTAACAAAAAACTGAGCACCCAACAGTAAGCAAGCAAGGGCACAAAACAAAGCCAGGTTTTGTTCACTGAGTTAAACAACTAAAGGGGGCTTTTTAAAATCAGTGAGCCAAACAGCTTTCCTCTGCTGACAGAAACATACAGGAGCTCTTCAGTATCATTACTCAGAATTTACCCTAGTACAAGGAGGTCTCATCTATCCTGCTGGGAGGGAAGGAGGGGGTTTTTTATCTGCCTTCAAACCAGGGCACCTCTGTTAACACTCCTTTGCTGCACACAGAAATTGAGGTTGTCCCCTCATCACCTGGAAGGACCAGCAGGAGGATGTGCGAAGGCCAGCTGTCACTCAAACCTGTGAGGTTCCCTGTAGCTGCAGGAAACACCCCACAGTGGTGCAATACAAAATGCCGAGGCTGCACCGGCTACTGTAGCAGCCTCATCCCCACGGCACATCAGACCACCTTAGGGAAGCAGTATGTGTATGTCTGGGGTCTTTGGAGAAAATTGCCTTGTTGCTCCCTAGACTCTGTTCCCTTCCTCTATTTCTGAATTTTCTCACTGTGTACAAGCAAAGGCAGTCCCTTTCATTGCTGTCAATAACACAGTGGTGACTTTTCCTCACCAGAAGTACCAGTAAGCACATTCAACTTCTGAAAGCTTCACAGTACTCAGTACGTTGCACACTTGTGGCAAACTGGTATCTAATAAAAGCTACTTATTGTTGTCTATTTCCCCCCCACTTTAAAGATACAAATTAAGGAAATTATCTGTAGTTAAAGTTGATGAAGAGGTCTTTCATGCTGTGCAAGTACTCCCTTTGAAAAGCTCATTTGAACTTGTACAGCCTGACAGAAATACAAATGTGATACTAGAACATTAGACTGTGTTTCGGGGGTTTCTTTAATCCATTTTTCTTCATCCCCTCCCAACATCTAAAAAACACTTGGAAATAAAGCAGAAAACACACTTCAGTGCTGACTTAAAACAATTTCTCCCTATGCTTTTCATAAGCTTTTTCATCATAATTTTCTACCAAATCTCTGAATAAATGACCATGTGAGATGATGATCTCTTCTTTGACCAGATAATGCAAAGCTATCCAGTCTATCAGGCTGAGTCAAACATTATCCATCCACTTTATCATTCTTAAGCTTGATACTCTCTGCTAATACAGCTGGTTCTTTCTTGTTCAGTACCATAGAAGTAGTAGGAATTTCAACAGCAGCACTGTCCTGTTTACTGGATACAGAAGAAGATGGCTGAGACTGTGTCACAAGAAAAAGTGGAGTTCGCTTCAGCTTTACTACACGGTTGCTTACAGGCTTCCTGGATGCTGTGATCTTGAACGCCATTTGATGTGGCGTCCCATGGTCAGCACTCTGCTGCCCACAAGGCACCTGGGAATTGCTGGGCACTGCTGCGGATACAATTTCAGAAGCTACTTTGTGCAGCGTCAAACTTTCACTGTTGGATCGTTTAAAAGTCACTGCAGAACGTGAAGCATTGCAAGCAGCTACCTTTAATGAAGCTGAATTCTTGACTTTGATGTGGGTACTTGTTGAGGGACCTGAGAATCTAATTGGCTTGGGGCCTGCTTTACATGGTGAATAGTCTTCCTCTTCAGTAAAGTCGATTAATCGTCTGTAGAACAAAGAAATTAAAGAAATAAACTATGTATATAAATTATTCATTTTATAACATTATTACAAAACAGACGATCTGTGACAGCCATCCACAAATCTCAAGTTCTTTTAATTTTTACTTGATACAATATCATTTATGGTTCTGAACTGTTCATCACTGCAGTCAGGCTTGCCTTTGTATGAATAGTACTATCAATCTCTTCTACCTGTGTTAACTAGTATTACACATTAAAAATTGTAAGAAATATGATGCACAAACTGCTAAGTGAAAAATCAGTGAGAAAGCAAGCCGGGGGAGTTATAGAAAGAAAATCTTAAAATGCTACATATTCCATCAGATACAAAATCCACTAAATATTAGTCTGATGTGATTTATCTGCAAAAAATTCAAGACCCAACTGCACATGAACACAAAATATAGAGTTCCACACTATGTAATTTGAGAAAAGAAGATATTGCTTCTTTCTCCCCCCATTTCTTTTCAATACAGATGATTATGGATAATCTTTCAAGAGGAAACATTTAAAAAAACCAAACTAGAACCTATGCAAGAAAATCTATGGACTCTCATGGCAACTCTGACTGATACAAGTAGACAGCTTTTTTAAAGTACTACACAAATGCTGTTTCTGAGTGTTGGCAAAGAAAAATAGACACCTAGATGATTTTAATTCCCAAGGAAATAATAAATGATGCCGTAGAAATCCAGGTCATGCTAAAACAGCTGAACAGGATGTTAGAAAACCTGATACCCAACAAAACAAAAGCTAAACCAGGCCAGGTCAGAGGGACGATCAGTAAACATAAATCAAAATCATTTTTGGAGAAATGAGGAAGAGGGGGAAAAAGAACATGGAGACCAAATTAAACTCAGAGAATATTAACAACGCATTTAAAAATTATCAAAACAAAAGCTGTTAAACTGTGGCTTTGTTGCTGTCTCCTACATAGAATCACAGAATGGTTTGGGTTGGAAGAGACCTTAAAGATCATCTAGTTCCAACCCCCCCCTGCTGCAGGCAGGGACACCCTCCATTAGACCACGTTGCCCAAAGCCTCATCCAACGTGGATGATGGGGTAAAGCTACTAAAACCTGGTAGTAGGAGAAAGAACATGTATGAATCAGATTATCTCTAGATTTTTAGCTGACAACGAAAAGCTGTAGCTTTAACTGACCTGTTTGTTAGGAATGAAGAGACACTTAGCTGGCTGGTCAGAACTGTAAACAGGCTATGAAGTGTGAGAGCCACTAATACACTACAAAAGCATTGATATTCTTCAGGGTAATTGCATTTTGGATTTTAAAAGATCTGTGAAATGCCACAGGGATTCATACCAAAACAATAAACAATATCTGAGGGTAATATTTCCTATTATTGCTCTTATATTATATATATGGTGACACTGTTCAAACAGAAAGCCTGCAAATAACCCAGTACTGATAACGAGTCCAGGGAGGTTTTCCTCAGAGCCATAAGGTGAGAACATATTCTCAATGTCTGCACATCCTAGATCAAAGGATCCACCAAAACAAAAAGGGAAGCTTAAACATTGAAAGACTAGGTGCTTTAATAGTAGCAATGAAGTATAGGTAAAATATCATCAGTAACTAGGTTCATTTACAGTATTTTAAGACAGTATATGGTATCATCAGGATCACTGGGTACATCAGGAGTTTTAGCTGAAACATAAAGGTAGCTTTTTTGAGGGTGCAGAAGAATAGAGAAGACAAAGTAGAGAGGCGGGAGATAAAACAAGCAATGGTAGTAGAGGAGCATTCAGGAACGTATGCGGGATGTTTGGCAATCCAGGGATCAAATGATCACAGTCCTTCCTATTTGAGCTATGAAAAGCAAAGAATGCAGTATCCCCCCCAGCAAAAATGGGGGGACAGGGGAGGATGGGGAGACAGGAGTTTTCAGCTGGATCATTGTGCTGATGTAGCTCTGTGGCTGCTGCTGAAATGACGGTGGCCAGGGACAAGGAAGGTCAGCAAGATCCTCTTCTATCTAGCAGCAAAGTAGGTGGCTCAGATCAACTGAGTAGCTGCACCTGCAAAGGCTGCTTTTAGGTAATGTATTGAGACTGGAAGTGTAGTCAAAAGTATCACTGTAAAACTGCAAAGAAGAAAGTCTAGAAATTCCTCCTAAAAAGAAGGCATCTCACACATAAAAATCAGTTAACCTTTTAAAGTTTTCAGTTAAATTTCTTTTTTAGCAGTCCATTTAACTAATACTGCTCTCTACTTTTTGAAATTACTCCTTCCCACTCTGTAGTGATGTTTTAAAGGCTGAAGAGGTAGAATAGAATAGAGTTTCAGCAGCCTAAAAAAGGTAATCTGTTTCCAGTGAGTTCAGTTCTGCAATTAAGGTCTCTGATAAGACATTTTATAAAAATGTAAACAGAAAAAAACAAAGAAAACTCAACATTCATTGCTCTTCAGAGAACCTGAAATTATATTTTTAAAAAAAGAAAAGATTGCGCTGTATTTCTGCTTTATTTTAAGCCACCTATGCAAATCAGTGCACCTTTTATGGACTGGAGGCATATGATGCAAACTGCCTTTCAAAGGGCGTTCTTCGAGAGTCCAACATTCAATCAGGTCCTGAGGCACTCTCCAGTAGCTGACACCTGCATTTCAAAGGGACATTGTATTGATGAGCTAAGAGACATAGTCAATGTTGCATGTATATACACCTGACTAAATGAATGCATGCATTTTATTATGTAGAATTTCAGCTTTGAGACTATGCTGACACAAACACTGCTTACAGCCAATATGCTTCTAGGGCTTCCAGCAGAGTGCCCAATGCTAACAAGGCTCTCACCCTTGCATGTGGTGGCTCTCACTACATCTATTCATTCATGTCAACTCATGTCACCGTGTTGGAACATCCCTTAAGACTTTTTTTTTCCCCAAATAGCCACCACTGTGGGATATTTTACATGTTACTTACTGAATGAGTGAAAATGTAAACAGAGTTTTTATTATTGGCAAATATTTTTCTTATTTTTCTGTTAAAAAGTAGTACTACTGAAATAAAAGAAAAAAAATTGATACTCTACCTCTCCCTTTCCAGGCATCGAAAGCATCCATCATTTTTTTCAGCTCAGCTACTGAGTAATAGCTCCAGATGTATTGGATGTTATTTCCAGCTTCTCTAGAAATATTGTTTTAAAGGTAACAGTTATGTAGTAAATCTAGCTAAGTCCTTAAAAATGTAACACTGGTGAAATGTATCATTCGTTTTACCAAATCCTAACTATAAGGACTTAATAGTAAATGTTTTGGAAAGCAGAAAGGAAAATGTAACTTAAATTTCATTTGTGTAACAGGTTCTACATAGCCATCCTCCTATGGTCTGCATGCCTGTGAACACCTATTGCTAAAAATTCGTGAGAGATGTTCATAAAAGAATAAATACAGAATTAATGGTGTAAAATCTTTTCTTCTAAATCTCAATCATTTATTCAAAGGAAAACACAGTAGGAGGACAGATACCTGATACTATGTGTCCAAATACTTTTGGAATAAACATTAATGTTCCCAGCCTAAATTTAGGAAAATATGTGTCTTAATTATAAAGATGATGAAACATCAGAAGCTCTATCTTAACCATGCTTCAAAAGGTACACAGTGAAGTACACATCTGACACCAAGATGTGTGGTCTTGTGGGACCAAGAGAAAGACAAATTGCTTCCAGACACTCAGAAGTACAGGTCTACCAATTACTTATAATTACTGTCACAAAAATACATTAATAGTGTCATAGAGATATACACGTCCTTTAAAGATTTAAAACTATTTCCTTTTATCTTCAGTTATTTTTGGTGTTAAATGAAGAATGCAAAATACAATTCCATTAATCACAAGCAACTTTGTGAATATTTCTGGAACTGCTTCTGGATGGGGATTCATTCACTGTATTTAGCGTGAATATTATCCTATATTAGGAAGTAATTTTAAATGGTTGAGACATTTTAAAAATGGCAAGTAAAACATAATAAGAACTTACAGCAACTGCATGCTAGCCACCTTTTGTGGACTCTCTCAAATTCTTGTACTCCATGCTTTGTTCTTATCTTTTTGTTTGTTTGTTTAATGTGACCATTGTATTAGCCAACTGTTTTCAAAGTTGGAAAGAATCTGATTCCTTCCACAGATGTATAGTACAATAATGCTATATTATGCTACACATAGTATTTAGGTATTATTATACTATGTGAGTGTTCGTTCTCACTTCATAGTGCTTTCATGTGTTTGACATTCATCTTACCTTTTGTAAATGCTTTTACTATGAATTTTTGTTCCTAGCTCCTTATTAATTGCATCGATCCCATCAGCTCTTGTGGTGTACACACCAATAATTTTACTTTCACAGCTTGCTCCAGAAGTGTTGAGATAGTGCAGGACCCAAACTGTAGGTGTGGTACAAACTAAGTCATAAGAATCACAGAAATCTAACAAAGCCTGTAAAAAAAACATAAAACACAAAATACAGAATATTAATAAGAACGTAATATTTTTAGTTGAATAAGCTTTCATATTTAACTGTACTGGTGAGCTCTTTTAAGTAAATCAAGGATGTAGTTTATCTAGAATAATGTGTGCAGTATTTTTTACCTGACATTAACAGAAAGTATTGTAGAACTAGGAGAAATTCACAGAAAAGCAACAGAAATACTTAAAGGCATGGCACATCTCTAATATGAAGAGAAACTGAAAGGTCTGGAAATGTGTTATGCTTTTCAAAAGGAAATGAATAAGGGAGAATGTGAAACATATGGAACAATAGCTTACTAAGAAAACATAGATGACTGTCAGGACTAACACAACCACACCTGCTAATACGAGTTAATTTCCAATCAGTTAATTAGAATTTACTTTTAAGTGACAATACTCTAAAATAGAGAAACTGTAGGATTTTAAATAATACATTCATTTTCTTTTCTCCTTTCTTGCTCTAAAAAAATGGCAAAGTACCTTTCAAGTTTTAGGATTAATTTGTAAAACTGAAAAAAAAAACCACAAAACCAAAAAAGCAAACATCTTGAAGGAATCAAATCTAATCTCAAGTAAAATCTGAAGACAATTAGGGAACTAAACAATGTCATTCCTACTACGCAAGCTTTACAGCTGACTTGCATGTAAAGCAGAGTCAACTTTAAACTGTTGCTGTATCACAATCATGGGAAAAGCTGATGTCCTTAACTACTATGACTGCATTGTCCACTCTAGGATTTCTTAACCTAAAAATCTGAATTTACTGGTGATTTAACATGGGAATTAAAAAGTGCTGTCTTGCATGTACGGTAGTTTTAGTATCTGATGCTAATGAATGGTGTGGATTAGAGAGTACACCTTGAAAAATGTAAGAAATGTCAAGACCTTTTTAAGCTCTACATTTGACTGTAAAGAATACGTCTCCATTTCATTGGCCAAATGGTCAGACAGACTGTATGGATACGGGATGCCAAAATAATCTGCTTCCTCCTGTAGTGCAATTCGAATTTGTTCATCTTCAGGAATCCGAACTTCTCCATGAAGATAATCCAGAAGATATTTAAACAGGCTTCCATCTCGATCAATTAGACATGCTCCTGAAAACATAAATAAAATCATTTAAAATACCAATTCCAGCAAGCAAAGACAGATTTGTCACATCCTACCAAACCAACAAGAAAAGCCTTCATATAAAACTTCTGTACTAGTTTTACTTAGGAGGAATAAGTATACTTTCTCTGTTCTTTCAAAACCACTATTTTGACTCCCCAGAATATCTGTTATGTGAAGATAAAATTCTTAATGCAGTAAACATTTCTTTGGAATTTCAGTGAAATCACCAATCTGCATAGGACCATGCCAACATACAATCTCAGCTGTAGTGCAATCAACTTAAAATGCTAAAATCTAATTCTAGATGCATTTCTAATGCTAACTGCAGATACATCTCTTCTCACTATTGCAGAGAATTTTTCAGGTTTGGACCCAGGCAATTTAAAAGAGTTAAAAGTAACATCAGCTCCAGTACACATCGAGTCTGACCTTCCCTGACTATTGCTCAAGTTTTACAGTATTTTTTTGTTTCTTTTTCTCTCCTTTGCCTGCTGGGCTCAAGGACCACTACAAAACTGACCAAAATATATGTGGTTGTGTACAATAGGCTGTTCACTGCAACTGAAAGATGGTAGCAAAGCCCTGCCCATAAAAATGTTAAACACTTCAGATATTTTAAACAGTCAAAAGTGTACAACAAGGAATTGCTATTCTCCATCCACCATATCTTTAAACTAGACATACTTTGGCAGGATTTCCAAGTCACAAACAAGTATGAAATTTAACCCATGAATAGTTTTATTCAAGCTTTCATATCAAGCCATGGTGGTGAAAAATGCAATCTTTACTGTGTAATGAAGTATTCTGAAACAAAGATTAGGCCCAAATCTCCTTATGTAATGAACACAGAGAGAAAGATGCCTCTGGAGAATGTAGGGGGTCATAAACAGGATCCAAGTTAAATGCCAAATACTCTGCAACTTCAATTTTATCTATTTTGATATTCATACTGAAGAAGGACATTCCAAAGCTACAGTTTGCACTGGGACAAGGCAGGAGTAAGCACTGTATGAACATGTTTGTCTGTAAATAAGAGTAGTCTTGTGGAATTCAGATTAATTACTCATAAGTATAAAGTCATGCATGCCTAATTGTTTTATGTCCTGGAATTAAAGAAGCCAACTGATACTCAGCAGATTGGGAAAAGAGATATACTATAAAATGTATATAAAAGCATGCACTTGCCACAGAGCTTCCTGATCAGAATGTCATATTTACAGTTTGAACATATTTACCTGATTCATCCACTTTTAGAGGAAAGCGTCCACTAAACATAGAAGCTAGCATTGAATCCTTAAAGCGGCATAAAGACTCACGCCGGGCTGTGTATACGCATCCTCGCACATTAAGTCGTAGAAAACCCTGGGCATCTTCAGTCTTGGCCTCTTCCATAGCATTTGCAAATAATGATGTTAATTACAAGCTAGTCAAACCTGAAAGAGATAGAAACAAAAGTAAATCTAATGCTAGTTAAGACAACATACTATATACAACATCTAAGCCTTAGCTCAGCTTTTACATGTTTGTTACACAATACTGTAAATCAGCTTTGAAAACAGTTCTGGGGATGTATTAGTGCAAGTAGCCAAACATTCTGCACCTTTACTATAAAAAACCATGGCATTTTACTTTGCTAGGAAATACAAAGGTTACTCTTTCGAGACAAAGTAGTAAGCAGAATTACATGGTCAGTGTGTGAGCAGAGCACTGGAAGGACGTTCTGGGAAATCTTGCTTTTAGTTCACAGCACTAAAAATGCAGTAATTTTGTACTAACAACTTGGTTTCTTTAAACTCCGATCTTTAAGTAGGGCTGCTTTAAGTAGTTGTTGAAGCTGTCACGTCATTAATGCCACATTGCCAAGAAATACTCTTACTTGCGCCTACCTTGAGCTCCCCGCAGGAGGGGGGGGAGCGTCTGGGCAGAAAAAATTGGCACAAGAAGTAGAAGAAAATGTTCAAACGTGGGGTTTTTTTTAGAGCACACTCTTTGAAGGTTACTAACTCCCACTACGCACCTTTCGCCCGGGCACCTGCTAACGTTTCACCAAAATTAACTGATGTACTCCCGCCAGCGGGTCAGCCCCCCCCACAGCGGTCGGGTCACCCCCTCCCTTTCGTGGGGCGCTGCTCCGCCAAAAAAGAGGGAAGCCTATTCTGGCCGATTAGGGAAATCAGCTGAAGAAGGCGGTTGAGCTCCCCACCCGGGGCCGTCCGCGGGTAGGGGGTCCCGTCATATGGGGCGGGGGCAGGCGCTATCCCGCGTTACCTGCGCTGCCGCCTCCCGCAGTAGGGTCGCCTCGCCGGGCCTGAAGTGGGTAAGGCCAGCGGAGGGGCTGGCTCG